CCAGCACAGATTTCGGGCAATTTTTCCGAAATGCCATTTTGTTTCGATTCTGGAGGCTGCAAATCACGAAATCAGGCCGAGCCTATATCCACCGATAATGAAGTCTATTGATACTATTCTCCACCGATGATAAGTCCATTAAGGACCGATTTGGGCCAATTTATTTTCGGATGGCATTTTCGTTTTTTTTTTTGCGACGAAAGACCATTTTCTTTGGATTTTGAAGGCTACAGAGCGCGGATTCGGCCTGAGGCTATTCTTCAACGATGATTAAGTCCATTAAGTGCCGATTTGGGTGAATTTATTCTGGGCCCATTTTTGGCAGATTCCAAAGGGGTACCATCACAGATTTCGGGCAATTTTTCCGAAATGACATTTTCTTTCGATTCTGGAGGCTGCAGCTCACGGAATCAGGCCGAGCCTATATCCACCGATAATGAAGTCTATTGATACTATTCTCCACAGATGATAAGTACATTAAGCACCGATTTGGGCCAATTTATTTTCGGATGGCATTTTCGTAATTTTTTTGGCAACGAAAGGCCATTTTCTATGGATTTTGAAGGTTACAGATCGCGGATTCGACCTGAGGCTATTCTTCAACGATGATTAAGTCCATTAAGTGCCGATTTGGGCGAATTTATTCCGGGCCCATTTTTGGCAGATTCCAAAGGGGTACCATCACAGATTTCGGGCAATTTTTCCGAAATGCCATTTTCTTTCGATTCTGGAGGTTGCAGATCACAAAATCAGGCCGAGCCTATATCCACCGATAATGAAGTCTATTGATACTATTCTCCACGGATGATAAGTACATTAAGCACCGAATTGGGCCAATTTATTTCCGGATGGCATTTTCGTAATTTTTTTGACGACGAAAGGCCATTTTCTATGGATTTTGAAGGTTACAGATCGCGGATTCGACCTGAGGCTATTCTTCAACGATGATTAAGTCCATTAAGTGCCGATTTGGACGAATTTATTCCGGGCCCATTTTTGGCAGATTCCAAAGGGTTACCATCACAGATTTCGGGCAATTTTTCCGAAATGACATTTTCTTTCGATTCTGGAGTTTGCAGATCACAGAATCAGGCCGAGCCTATATCCACCGATAATGAAGTCTATTGATACTATTCTCCACGGATGATAAGTACATTAAGCACCGATTTGGGCCAATTTATTTCCGGATGGCATTTTTGTAATTTTTTTGGCGACAAAAGGCCATTTTCTATGGATTTTGAAGGCTACAGATCGCGGATTCGGCCTGAGGCTATTCTTCAACGATGATTAAGTCCATTAAGTGCCGATTTGGGCGAATTTATTCCGGGCCCATTTTTGGCAGATTCCAAAGGGGTACCATCACAGATTTCGGGCAATTTTTCCGAAATGCCATTTTCTTTCGATTCTGGAGGCTGCAGATCACGGAATCAGGCCGAGACTATATCCAGCGATTATGAAGTCTATTGATACTATTCTCCACGGATGATAAGTACATTAAGCACCAATTTGGACCAATTTATTTTCGGATGGCATTTTCGTAATTTTTTTGGCGACGAAAGGCCATTTTCTATGGATTTTGAAGGCTACAGATCGCGGATTCGGCCTGAGGCTATTCTTCAACGATGATTAAGTCCATTAAGTGCCGATTTGGGCGAATTTATTCCGGGCCCAATTTTGGCAGATTCCCCAGGGGTACCATCACAATTTCGGGCAATTTTTCCGAAATGACATTTTCTTTCGATTCTGGAGGCTGCAGCTCACGGAATCAGGCCGAGCCTATATCCACCGATAATGAAGTCTATTGATACTATTCTCCACGGATGATAAGTACATTAAGCACCGATTTGGGCCAATTTATTTCCGGATGGCATTTTCGTAATTGTTTTGGCAACGAAAGGCCATTTTCTTTAGATTTTGAAGGCTACAGATTGCGGATTTGGCCTGAGGCTATTCTTCAACGATGATTAAGTCCATTAAGTGCCGATTTGGGCGAATTTATTCCGGGCCCATTTTTGGCAGATTCCAAAGGGGTACCATCACAGATTTCGGGCAATTTTTCCGAAATGACATTTTCTTTCGATTCTGGAGGCTGCAGATCACGGAATCAGGCCGAGCCTATATCCACCGATAGTGAAGTCTATTGATACTATTCTCCACGGATGATAAGTCCATTAAGCACCGATTTGGGCCAATTTATTTTCGGATGGCATTTTCTTGTATTTTTTGGCGACGAAAGGCCATTTTCTATGGATTTTGAAGGCTACAGATCGCGGATTCGGCCTGAGGCTATTCTTCAATGATGAATAAGTCCATTAAGTGCCGATTTGGGCGAATTTATTCCAGGCCCATTTTTGGCAGATTCCAAAGGGGGTACCATCACAGATTTCGGGCAATTTTTCCGAAATGACATTTTCTTTCGATTCTGGAGGCTGCAGCTCACGGAATCAGGCCGACCCTATATCCACCGATAATGAAGTCTATTGATACTATTCTCCACGGATGATAAGTACATTAAGCACCGATTTGGGCCAATTTATTTTCGGATGGCATTTTCGTAATGTTTTTGGCTACGAAAGGCCATTTTCTTTGGATTTTGAAGGCTACAGATCGCGGATTCGGCCTAAGGCTATTCTTCAACGATGATTAAGTCCATTAAGTGCCGATTTGGGCGAATTTATTCCGGGCCCATTTTTGGCAGATTCCAAAGGGGTACCAGCACAGATTTCGGGCAATTTTTCCGAAATGCCATTTTGTTTCGATTCTGGAGGCTGCAAATCACGAAATCAGGCCGAGCCTATATCCACCGATAATGAAGTCTATTGATACTATTCTCCACCGATGATAAGTCCATTAAGGACCGATTTGGGCCAATTTATTTTCGGATGGCATTTTCGTTTTTTTTTTTGCGACGAAAGACCATTTTCTTTGGATTTTGAAGGCTACAGAGCGCGGATTCGGCCTGAGGCTATTCTTCAACGATGATTAAGTCCATTAAGTGCCGATTTGGGTGAATTTATTCTGGGCCCATTTTTGGCAGATTCCAAAGGGGTACCATCACAGATTTCGGGCAATTTTTCGAAATGACATTTTCTTTCGATTCTGGAGGCTGCAGCTCACGGAATCAGGCCGAGCCTATATCCACCGATAATGAAGTCTATTGATACTATTCTCCACAGATGATAAGTACATTAAGCACCGATTTGGGCCAATTTATTTTCGGATGGCATTTTCGTAATTTTTTTGGCAACGAAAGGCCATTTTCTATGGATTTTGAAGGTTACAGATCGCGGATTCGACCTGAGGCTATTCTTCAACGATGATTAAGTCCATTAAGTGCCGATTTGGGCGAATTTATTCCGGGCCCATTTTTGGCAGATTCCAAAGGGGTACCATCACAGATTTCGGGCAATATTTCCGAAATGCCATTTTCTTTCGATTCTGGAGGTTGCAGATCACAGAATCAGGCGGAGCCTATATCCACCGATAATGAAGTCTATTGATACTATTCTCCACGGATGATAAGTACATTAAGCACCGAATTGGGCCAATTTATTTCCGGATGGCATTTTCGTAATTTTTTTGACGACGAAAGGCCATTTTCTATGGATTTTGAAGGTTACAGATCGCGGATTCGACCTGAGGCTATTCTTCAACGATGATTAAGTCCATTAAGTGCCGATTTGGACGAATTTATTCCGGGCCCATTTTTGGCAGATTCCAAAGGGTTACCATCACAGATTTCGGACAATTTTTCCGAAATGACATTTTCTTTCGATTCTGGAGGTTGCAGATCACAGAATCAGGCCGAGCCTATATCCACCGATAATGAAGTCTATTGATACTATTCTCCACGGATGATAAGTACATTAAGCACCGATTTGGGCCAATTTATTTCCGGATGGCATTTTTGTAATTTTTTTGGCGACAAAAGGCCATTTTCTATGGATTTTGAAGGCTACAGATCGCGGATTCGGCCTGAGGCTATTCTTCAACGATGATTAAGTCCATTAAGTGCCGATTTGGGCGAATTTATTCCGGGCCCATTTTTGGCAGATTCCAAAGGGGTACCATCACAGATTTCGGGCAATTTTTCCGAAATGCCATTTTCTTTCGATTCTGGAGGCTGCAGATCACGGAATCAGGCCGAGACTATATCCAGCGATTATGAAGTCTGTTGATACTATTCTCCACGGATGATAAGTACATTAAGCACCAATTTGGGCCAATTTATTTTCGGATGGCATTTTCGTAATTTTTTTGGCGACGAAAGGCCATTTTCTATGGATTTTGAAGGCTACAGATCGCGGATTCGGCCTGAGGCTATTCTTCAACGATGATTAAGTCCATTAAGTGCCGATTTGGGCGAATTTATTCCGGGCCCAATTTTGGCAGATTCCAAAGGGGTACCATCACAGATTTCGGGCAATTTTTCCGAAATGCCATTTTCTATGGATTTTGAAGGCTACAGATCGCGGATTCGGCCTGAGGCTATTCTTCAACGATGATTAAGTCCATTAAGTGCCGATTTGGGCGAATTTATTCCGGGCCCATTTTTTGCAGATTCCAAAGGGGTACCATCACAGATATCGGGCAATTGTTCCGAAATGCCATTTTCTTTCGATTCTGGAGGCTGCAGATCACGGAATCAGGTCGAGCCTATATCCACCGATAATGAAGTCTATTGATACTATTCTCCACGGATGATAAGTCCATTAAGCACCGATTTGGGCCAATTTATATTCGAATGGCATTTTCGTAATTTTTATGGCCACGAAAGTCCATTTTCTTTGGATTTTGAAGGCTACAGATCGCGGATTCGGCCTGAGGCTATTCTTCAACGATGATTAACTATCTGAAATTTGTATCTTATACCTAGAAGAGGTGAGTAAGGAAAGGAAACAAATGAGCCTTGTTTATGTGTTTAAATAATAAATAGTAATCTTAGTAAATCAATTGTCATTTGTTAGGAATCGTCCAAATGATAAGGATTTATTGAGGAATTCGATCTATTACCATACAATGTGGCACTTTTATAATTTTATAACGACACTAGCATATGTTGTTAATGAAATATTAATTATAGACGATCAGCATATCAACAAAGGAACGGAATTTATATCCAACACTTATTTGAAGTCAGAATTTCATATGATTCTACCCAAGAAAAAAGGATATGATTGTACAATTCCATCCTTCTAATTCTATACCTAGAAAATGGTACTTCACATCAAAGATCAAAATTTTATCCCCAGATTCTTCAAACCATACAATGTAAACATTACAAAACCAATGGTACTTCACATTGAAGAGCAAACCTTGCCTTGGGGGGCAATTCTTCATACACCAGTGGGCTTCCACGACGAAAGAGGTGGAGTGTTGAAATCCTTGAATGTCAATATACCTTCACCATACCTATCACCCTTCACAGCACCAGCTGCAGCAATGGATTCCAGTTCATCCATCTCTTCTGCTGTCAGCTCCACAGACAGAGCTCCAATGTTCTGATTGAAGTTCTCGACCTTGGTCGTTCCTGGGATCGGACACACATCATCTCCCTGGCGATGCAGCCAAGCGAGTGCCAGCTGCGAAGGAGTGCATCCTTTCCTCCTCGCGATTTCGTCCACCCTCTCGAATATGGCTTTGTTGTGCTCCATATTCTCGGGATGAAACCTCGGGAGGTACTGCCATATTGTTGAACAACAAGATTTTAAAGGCTAGCTTCTATAGAAGCAGAGATTAATTGTATAGCCAAAAGATTCAATGTACAGTTTCCAAAAACCTTCAGAAAGTTGCCCTCAAATTTTTCAGCCACCTTAGGCCCAGATGAAAGAAATCCACGGCCTAAAGGGCTGTATGCAACAATCCCAATTCCAAGTTCTCTAGCAAACACAAGAACATAGTTACTATACATGAGAAAAAGTAAACTCTTTTTCAAGTTAAGGGTGATCATCAATGGCTGATCACCTGCAAGTAGGGACAATCTCTTCCTCCACATCCCTACACCACAACGACCACTCCAACTGCACCGCCGTGATGGGATGAACAGCATGAGCCCTCCTGATTGTTGAAGCAGAAGCCTCAGAAAGACCTATATACTTAATCTTACCTTCCTCAACCAGTTCCTTCAATTCCCCCATCTTCCCCCAAATAAGATATGAGCAATCAGGAGGTAAAATGAACGAATTCAAACAACCCAAAAGTGATATCCTAAAAGGGAAATGAGAAATTCCTTCAGATTAAACGAACCGTGGCTTCAATTGGCACTGTGATATCAGCTCTGTGCTGATAATAAAGGTCAATACAATCAATCTCCAGCCTCTTCAAGCTACCCTCACAAGCAATTCTTACATAAGCGGGATCTCCACGAATCGCCATCTTCCCATCCAGAAATAGACGACCAAATTTAGTACCGAGTTCAACCCTTTCCCTGAACCCTCCTTTGAAAGCCTACAAACAGCCAAGAAATCGAAATCAACCAACTCCCAACAGAGCTGGGGGAAAAACAAAAGTCAAAGGCAGACCCAGAACCAAGAATTGAATTGGGTAGCTGAAAATTGAAACCTTTCCCAGAAGGATTTCGTTTCTGTGAGGGCCGTAGACATCGGAGGTGTCAAGGAAAGTGACGCCGGAGTTGACGGCGTGGCGGATGAGAGCGATCATTTCAGGTTCGGGCTTAAGAGGGTTGAACAGAGGCGACATGCTCATGCATCCAAGTCCCTGAGCTGAAACTTCGAGTCCCTGTGATCCCAGCTTTATTCTCTTCACCGGTGCCGTTCCCGCCATGGTCGATCAAAATTCTCTCAAGCAGTTTTCCGGCCGGCAGAGGTTGGTTCAGAGCGCAAAAGGCGAGGTAATGAGTATGACTGAGCCGGCAGAGAGACTCGTTCTGCCGGATGGAAAAGGTGGGAAATAAAGAAATTGATTGGCGGGATGAGCAAGGGTTTGGTCAGATGGGATTTCTGGGTTGACACGAATTTGACAGAGAAATTTGACCTATTTTTCATCGAATGTGGCATCTTTTATTGTTGTTCAATGAGTAATCGTCATCGTTATTTTGGTTTAATCTTTAACTGTTGGTCGATTAAGTATAATAATCAATAATTAACATTATGATTATAGTTGGTAGACTAATATAAACGGGTCAATCAACAGCCAGCAAGAATTACGTAATGATTAACTGATAACCGAATCGACGATTATAACAAACTGACTAACAAGTAACAAGCCTGACAATCTATTATACAGAGAAATGATCCAAACCAGAGATTGTAAAACCTTACTGGAAATTGAGCAAATATGATAATTTGTAATGAAAATCATGATACAACCGTTTCATAATGCTAAAAACCACCCACCCACCAATTCAAACTCCAAAAGAAGATTTTTACCGTCGAATCACCGGTACGGTTTCACCATCATGTTCATTTCCTTCATAGATGCTAGTATGAGTATCTCGTACGTAGTTGGTTTACATTATGAAAGCAACTAAGCAAGAATACACATACATTACTCATTGCATTATGGACGTTCTCGTATAGCATTAAAGCTTAATTCCAAGAACCCAGCCTCAACAAATTTTATGCTTCTTAATCTTCTCAAACTTACAAACTCAAGGATGGAAAAAACAGGGGAAAAACAGAGTGTTCTCTGTTTTATCTGCCCCTCAGCAACGCCTTCTCGGCGGTATCCATCTCCTCCAGAATCCTGGCCCTCCGCTTCGCCGGCAGCGGCGCCGTGGGTCCGAAGCTAATGTAGTGACCGGAGACAGCGTTCAGCGCCGAGTACATGTCCCTAAACGACGCACGCGCCAGCAGGGCCTTCTCCTTCCTGTACTTGGCCACCCACGAGTTGGACGTCTCCCTCAGCTCCGCCACCGCGTCGGCCACGTTCGGCGCGTTCCTGTCCAGCGTGATCGTCGTCCTCACTTTCCCGATCACCTCCTCCGTGTCCTTCACGTACTCCTCGTCCGACGCCGCCACCGCGGCCCGCGGGGAGATCGCCACCGCCAGCCATACGGCGGCGGAAACAGAGGATAGCAAGTGGCGGCGAGTGAGGGATTGTTGCGGCGGCGCGTGTGGCTGGAGGGCGGCGGAGAGCGGTTGGAGTTTGGGCTTGGAGGGGGAGAGGGGAGTTGGGGAGAGGAGCGTGGCGGTGGTGGTGGGAGATGCCAAGCTCATTGTGAAGGATTGGATATGGTGGAAATGTTGGTAATGGAGAGATTGAATTGAAGAGGAGAAGAAGAAGAAGGTTTAGAGTGGAGGAGGAAAGGAAAGGAAAGGGCAGGGGAGGTGATTGGAAATGGTGACACGTGGCCTTATCACCTTATCTGATATCTACCAAAATATATACATTTTAGGATCAGGCTCTGGTCGTCCTCAGCCAATCATGTTTTCCCAGTGTGACAGTTGTCACTTTCTTGCCCTTGCCTTGCTGGCACTTTCATTTCTTGCTGGTGGTATTTTTCTTGTTGAATGTTAGTATTTTGTTCGGGTTGTTCAAATGGTTAACATGTAATCATTTGTATCATATATCCTATGGCAAAAAAAAAAAAAAATCATTTGTATCATATATCAGTTATTTTTTTTGTTAAAGAGATCTCTAGTAATTTGTAATCGGACAAAACTCGACATATAACAAAATTTCGGAGGATCTTTGATTAGAATGAGGGTATCCTTCTCAAGGTAGTATCATATTTTGAGAGTAATTACTAAAATCATCCATCGTTTATCAATTTCGACAATATTTTTCCAGACAATTATCAATCCGAATTACCTCATAACAACTCGAGTTTCCCATTGAATAGATCATCACAATTAGAAGGTGTGTAATGGTTCGGATAGTGCAAATTCATGAAAACCGCGATCCAATAGTAAAAGACATCTTAGGACTAAGGGTCGAATCTAACACTGCATTCTATCAAATTTGATCAGGTCGCTTTTCCTTCAGTATTATAAAATTCATAGAATCAATAACCAGATCACATCGTATTCGATTGAATATGATTCAATACAGTTAGAGGTGGCAATTGGATTGGATTCATGGATTCGTGGATCCATGGATCAAATAGATTGGATCCAATGGATTGGTGGATTCATGGATTGGTGGATTGATCCATGAATCCAAATTACATCCAAGACTTGGACCAAAATGTAAATTTTGAAAAGTTTAGGTACTAAAATGTTATAATGAAAATTTTTAGGTACCAAAATGTAATTTTCCAATAATTTTTTTCGTATAAAATATAAATTTTAGGTGCCAAAATGTAAAATATAAAATATAGGTACCACGTCGTAATTTGCCATTTGGATCCATGGATTGATCCATGAATCCACCAATCCAATTGGATTTGGATCAAATGGATTGGATTTAAATGGATTGGATTAAGTGGATAATTTGGTGGATGGATTGGATTGGATTCATGGATTTGGATCCTAATTGCCACCTCTAAATACAGTTCGATACGGAGTAAACCATTTCATACCCCCTAATTGCAATTACCTCTTAACTTTGGATTCAACTACACTCTTTTGTTTTTGTTTTTGGATGCTACTCGTGAGAAACTATAATTGGGTTAGGCTAAAAACAAAATCAAGGTCTTGTTGAAATCGTCACTCCAAAAGCATTTCTTGATCCCGTCAACCTGCCCTCTACCCAAACTTCAAAACCAGAGACAAGAAGCTAAAAAGTTTCACAGTTCTTCCTTATCATCCTTCTCAGTCTCTTACACCATGGAATCACCAATACAGAAGCTCCCCAAAGCCATCTTCCACGACATACTTTCCAGG